TTCTAGTGTCCAGGAGTTGGGCTAATGTTGAAGATTAACAGGCTTAAAATAATTTCAAATTTTGTCATAATTTAGATAGAGGTTGACTTGCAATATACCATTGGGCTGTTTATATAAAGGACGTCAAGCCAAAATCTTTCTTTCTTTCTTTCTTTTTTAATTAGAGAGAGAGAGAAAGAGAGATGCCTTTTCACTTATGCATTTACTGGTTAATTGAACCTGCAGCCTTAGTATATTGGAATGACACTAACCAACTGAGCACCCAGTTAGGGTCAAACCAAAAATCTTTAAGTATATGAGTCAGAGATGAAATTTACTTATCTAAGAACACACTGGTGTGTTTTTTAAAATTGTTTTGTTTAGTTTTAATATTTTTATTGAATTTAGAGAAAAAGGAAGAGAAAGGGAGAGAGAGATAGAAACTTCAACAATGAGAGAATCATGGATTGGCTGCCTCCTGCATAACCCATACTGGGGATTGAGCCCACAACCTGGACATGTATTCTGGCCAGGGATTAAATCCGTGACATTTTGGTTCACTAAACCACACCAGCTGGGTAGAACACACTTTTAAAGTACTTTTAGGAATACCAGTTACATTCAACAACAAAGTTAAGCAGACAGTAACTTCCCGTGGCTGATGTACAAACACTCTTACAGAAGGACCCATCAATTGACATTTCAGCCTTCCTGGGATGCTCCAGAATGGGGTGGGAGCAAATTCCATGGTTTGTACCTGCATCTTTGGGGCCAGAACAAGTCTGAGTTTTGAGAACTGCACAGTGGGATACTAGAAATGGCCAATTAATTAATTATGTTGTCAATTCCTCTTGGGCGATGCTTTTGCCACAGATTGATCTGTGAGTTGATTAATTTGAGGGAGAGGGGGAGGTAGAATGAAGAATAAATAATTTATGAATTCAAAAGAATAAATAAGTTTATAAAGAAAGAGGCTAAGCTAGGTAGAACTTAGGTATTGATGTATGTATAAACCATCAATTCTATAGACTTGATATCCCGAATTTTTGTGCAAGAAGCCTCGCTTCTCTCCTCTGAGTGTAACAAAACTGTTGCTATATGAAAACAAACTTCCCTTACTCCATCAAAACTTCTTCAAACTTTTTGCTGATTCCAGACTGCCCCCTCCGTGTGCCTGGTCAGATAAGGTATTTTTGGTTCCCACCAGAGAATTCATTTGTGCCCTTTTTGAGTGTTTAGATAGTTTGCTGATGCCCAGCTGGCATGGCTCAGTGATTGAGCACTGACCTATGAACCAGAAGGTTGCAATTCGATTCCCTGTCAGGGCACATTCCTGGGTTGTGGACTCAGTCCCCAGTAGGGGGTATGTAAGAGGCAGCCAATCAATGATTCTCTCTCATTATTGATGTTTCTCTCTCTCTCTTCCCCTCTTAAAAAAAAAAAAAGATAGTTTGCTGAAAAAGAACACAGTGATGATAAATAGTGTAGTAGCCTGACTGGGTACTTCACCGTATGATCTAAGTGCTTTATTTTCATTACCTAATTTAATTCTATCAGCAATGGCATGAGGTAGGCATTATGAGCTCCCCTTTTAAAATAGCCTCAGACAGTCTGAGGCTGGCTTTCACCAAGAACCTTTCCGAGGCCGCAGAGGGTTGGAAGGTTTAGTGGTTAAGGGGGAGCTGATGTGTTAAAGAAGGTGGGCTGCAGTCTGACTCTATGACCATTGCCTCCTGTCTTCATGTAACATCTTTTCTTCAAGATGACGTCTTGCAAACTCCCCAAGACAACTTACAAACACCCTCTTGATTGACAATCATGGGTTGATTCACTTGGGGCTCTTTCAGCAAAGGGCCCTGCCCTGGCCTTGTCCACTGTCCCTGCCCTGCAGCATACCTGGGGCAGATGAGCCCATTTCTATGTGCTCCCGGCCTCAGAGGCAACAACTCCTCATTTGGTTCCAGTTTTCTAGGACTTGAAATAGCTCCCACCCTGAGAATTTCGTGGTTTGGAGTCTATTCCTTGGAGCTTGGTCCAAGGGAAATGCTGAGGGCCCTGAGGAGAAAGGGGCTGTGTTTGGACCTATGGCCTGGCTGGGGGCTGAGAGGCAGTGTCCATGTGTCTTTAGAGAGACAATGGGCATAGTCAGTGAGCATGTGGCCCTTGGGACCCGCTGAGCCCAGAGCTCAGATTATATCCCTCGAAATAAAGCTTTGGGCCGAGACCAGTTTGGCTCAATGGATAGAGCGTCGGCTTGGGGACTGAAGGGTCCCGGGTTCGATTCTGGTCAAGGGCATGTACCTTGGTTGCGGGCATATCCCCAGTAGGGGGTGTGCACGAGGCAGCTGATCGGTGACTCTTTCTCATCGATGTTTCTAACTCTCTATCTCTCTCCATTCCTCTCTGTACAAAATCAATAAAATATATTTAAAAAAAAGAAAAGAAAGAAATAAAACTTTGGGCTTAAGCTCTTACCCATTTAGTTCTGAGCCCACTAGCCTTGGGTGGGACACCACATGTCCAGGAGGAGGGGGCTTCCACCCAGCTGTTCTCTGCGGCTGGACCATAGTGCTCAGTATAGCAGGCAGCTCTGGGCCAAAGGCACAGCTTTGGGTGCTGACCTTGGACAGTACTGTCCTCAAGGAGAGGGAGGCAGCCTTGACCGTGGGAGCCAAGGAGCCCGGGAGTGAGTCAGTGTGGCTGTCCAGCCCCAGGGACAGGCTTCCCTTGAGGTGATTATTGGCCAAGGAGGAGAATGCAGCCAGCCAGGCCCTATTAAAATTGTCAGTGCTGAGGAATCGTCTCTAGGAACTATCCCCGACGGGGCTGACAGAATCTGAAGGGGTAAAGTCCAAGTTTCCACCATGTTTCCCACCCAAGCTTCGGGAGCTCTGGCATAGGAGGAGGCCGGCTTGCCAGGTGTTCCTGACGCAGCTGAGAGCAATCATTGCCACAGCCACCCTGCCTCAGCCATCAGCCACACCAGGCACTGGGCTCACACTGTTTGCTCTGCTCTTCAGAGCCTTCCAGGTTTGGCGTTGTGACCCCCATTTTATAGATGGGACTGAAGAGCTAAGTTTGCAACTGCCTGGACCAGGCTTCCCACTTGGGTCTGTCTGGGTTTCTTTCCATTCCACCATTACACCTCCTCAGAAGGTAGCACTGACCCAACCCAAGAGGTGGATCCTGAGAGAGCATCTGGGCAGCAGCCATGAGCATGGGATTGGCTCCAGGAGATGAGGTGGGAGTGGAGTATGGCTCTGGGTGAAGGCCTTGGCTCGTATTGTTTCCTTGCATGGACAGGAGAGGTAAATGCCTCATTGAAACACAGAATCATGTTGGTAGGAACAGGATGCCCTCCATCTTGTTCTTGTCCTGATTTCTGGGGGTGGGTCCTTAGGGAAATGACCAGCCTTGGGGAAAACTACAGTGTTTGGGATCCACATAAAAGCAGAGGCGTTTCTGTTGGCTTTCCTGCCTTACCAATGCCGGCCATCGGATCTCCTTTACCTCTGTGCCCTTCGTAGACCTCAGCACTTGTGTGCTATTACTGTCTACCCTCAATTTCAGCATGTCCTTGATCCCAGGAGGCACACTTTTTTTATACTTTACTATCTGTGCAAATTGGCACATCCTGTGAATGAGGTCTACATTTGATGCGATGGGGCTGTTTAAATTGATGTTACATTTTTAGAATTGATGGAGACCAAGACTGAGTAAATATAATAATTCATGCATTTGTTCAATTCATCAAATGCCTACAGTAAATGCCAGGCATTATGTTAGATGCTTAGAACATAGAAATAACCTTTTGCAGTCCCTTGCCTTTGGGAGGTCACAGCAAAAGGAGGAAATGGACTAGATAGAGCAATAGTTAGAGTTCATTGTGATAAGGGCACAAAATTTGGAAAACCAAGGTGTGTGGAGGATCAGAGGATGGAGGGAGGGGAAGGAGGGAGAGACTGGACCTCTTTGCAGAGAAGGTGTGTCACAAAGGAGGTGGGAACCTGAAGGGATTAGGAGTGAACTGGGTATGGGTTATGGAGTGGTATTCTGGAAAGATTGAATTGGAGCGGACAACGTTCAAAATCATGAGAAACTTGGAAGTGCTTGCAAGCTTCAATGGGTTTGTTGTGGCTGGAATGGAGAGTGTGTGTGGAGACATGGGTGTAAAATGAGGCTGTGGGAATAGGAAGGAGGCAGATCATGGAGGACCTCGAGTGCCACGCAAATTTGCTTAAGGTCCTACACCATCACAAACTTAATCTCCATCCTGAGTCTAGCAAGTCGCCTGGAGGTTTTAAGCAGGAGAGTGATGCCCTGATTTGTGTTTAGGAAGTTGTGTAGAATGCAGACAGGAAGAGGATGGTGGGTGGGAGGAGGGGGATAGAGTGACAGCTATCGGCAGAGAAAGAAGAGTTACCCCAAATGAAGAAAGCCTCATTCTCATGTACTATTTCCAGGCAGGGTAGAGGCTTGAGTCCTGGTGCAGAGGGGCAGCTAGAAGCTGCAGGCACAAGTGACCTTGCTCTTGCCTTAACCCCATCATATGTGCCCTTGTCTCAGGAGAGCCACCTAATCAGCAGACAGCTGATTATATGAAGGGATGATGAGAAAAGCTGGAAAGACAAGACATTTCCCTCCCCACTGCCTCTGCTCATTAAACAAGGGTCACATCAACCTACCATGGGGACATTTAACCCGTATTTGGATTAAATGGGAGGGAAATGTGTGGGTATTAGTGAGAACCATCACAGGAAACACACATTGGATCTATCTAGATAGTGTTAGAAGTCATAAGAAGTAGATAAGCTTCTGTTGCTGTGCATGGGAGTCATGCAGAAAACATAATGGTGTTGGCTGATGAGCCCACCTACAAGAGACTCTGGGACCAGATGCTGGGGTGAGAAGTGTAAGGAGCTTGCTTACTATTCTGGGGATGCTTTTGAAGGGGTGAGAGATGACTGTTGATATTGTGCCCCAAGGCTTACAGTTCTTCCCCCTTTGACTTTTCCATACAGGTGCAGTGCCACACTTACACCGGGTACTGCTGGTGTGTCACCCCAGATGGGAAGCCCATCAGTGGTTCTTCTGTGCAGAATAAAACTCCTGTATGTTCAGGTACCGTAGGGAGGGGTGGGAGGAAAAAAAAGGGCTGGAGAGAGACCTCTTGGCTATATCCCTTGTGTCCTGTAGGGGAATATTTGAAAAATTGGTGGTGGTTATTAGCCATCTCCAGGTGAGGAAGCATCCCACTCGAGCATGCACTTGCTCTCAGTCAGCCGAGTGACAGAGTCAGTATATGCCTGTATGCATATATTTGTTATTGTAAGTGTAGGTTTCTGGCTCAAGGCTCTTTTCCCCAAATATTGGCTGTAATCCCTAGAGCACGGCATATACACTTTTAGGTTGAATGCTCTGAATGATAATGGTCCTGGGAGCACTTGATTGAGGTGGATTTCAAGATTGCATGAGAATGCAATATCAAAGACTGTGATCATCAATTAGTGATGTTTGTCATGAGCACAGGAAGAGAGTGGTGGCCTGCCAGAATTCTCGTCCCAGTATTACAAAGTGGTGCAGCAATCTGGAGAAAGGCTGATGTGTAGATTCAATAAGGAGTCCAAAGACAAAAGATAGTTTTGAAAGACATTGTAGGTCAGAGGAGCTTCAGCTAATGGAGCTAAAGACTACCCCTTAATTCAGGACCCAGGGCTTTTTATTAACACAAATTGTCCTAAAGCAAAGTGGAGATATACACTTCAAAGGGTAGGGTTTCAAAGAGTAGGGTTTATAGTAGCATTGTCAGATTGGGGATTAGCCTACAGCTGTTCAGGTGTCTGGCCAACAGGAGGCAATAACATGCAGATTAAGATGCCCTGAGATGTCTGGCAGTTAACAATCCTATTCAGGTTTGGGGGAGATGCTTTTTATCTGTTCCAACAGATAAACTACATATGTGGCTCAGTCCTTATTGAGCCCCCCCCCCCCAAGCTTCATCAACCTTTTGATTAAACTCTTGCAATTATGACATGTTGGAATTGGTTCCTGGCAGTAGCCTATGTATCATAGGTGTGCCACCCTGAACCATGTAATGTAGAGCGATGGAAAACTCTCATAAGAGTGGCCCTCACATCTGGCTGCCCTCAGCAGTGTTTTGGGGATAAAAAAAACCCCAGGTGTTGAGACCCCTTCTATATATTCTCATCCAATAGGTCTGCAGTGAGGCCTGGAGTCCATGTGTGTATGAAGCTTCACATGTGGTTCTGATGAGTAAACCATTTAGGGCATCACGGATTTATAGTGACCCTCTAGGTCTGTCCATGGCAAAAATTAAGTCCTTTCTATTTTCAACTTGATAAGCATAGGGAAATTTTGCTCTTAGGTTAGCTTCAGGGGATGTGGACTATGAATTTACACAAGCCCCATACTTTCACATTCCATTAAGATGAGAATTTCGCCGGGACCGGTTTGGCTCAGTGGATAGAGCGTCGGCTTGGGGACCGAAGGGTCCCGGGTTCGATTCCGGTCAAGGGCATGTACCTTGGTTGCGGGCACATCCCCAGTGGGGTGTGTGCAAGAGGCAGCTGATCGATGACTCTCTCTCATCGATGTTTCTAACTCTCTATCTCTCTCCCTTCCTCTCTGTGAAAAATCAATAAAATATATTAAAAAAAAAAAAAAAAGATGGGAATTTCTCCCTTAAATCACTATGCAGCTCAGCCTTCATTAAAAACAAACAAACAAAAAACAAAAAACAAAAACCCATCTCACCATCTGCTGCTTCATATTTCTCAATAGCTATGTGTATGAGTTTTATATATTTACTTATCTTAATTTTGAAGTGCAAGCAAAGTATGAAACATTATCCTAAAACCCATGGGAGATCCCACAGGCTAGCAGTTCTGCTATCCTAACATTTTCCTTTTTCTCCCACAAAATTTATTCCTTTTTCCTCTGGCCCTGCTATATAAAGGGAGAAGTAAGTGGGAAGAGCAGTAAGTATCTACATTAGGAAACCAAGACTTGCAGGCCAAAAAGGAAAGTTTATTTTTGGTTTATATGGAAACTGGAAACCTTAATTGGGCTTGTTGTGGGAAGGGGCAGGAATGAGCCCTCCTTGCAGATGACCTGGAAAGTTCCACTGAAAGCAAACAAATGCACTAAAAACAAGTCATGCAGGGTAAGATAATTGAATTCTCACAAAATCAGTACCTGGAAAAAGGGTATGATATAGACTGGGAAAATATGGCTTCTTTTTTTTCTCTGGGTGTGGGACCTCCACAGATGCCTTTCTGTGGATGATCTGGCTGTGCCCTGCCTGTGTGGCTTTTTGTAGAGAAGACAGGTGCCACACGGTCAGGGCCAAAGGATGGGTGCATATGGCATCCTAGCATCTGCATGGCAGAGTGTTTGGCCAAACTCACACACTACCCTCTCCTTAAGGAACAGCCTGTTGCATCTAGAAAATTGTTTCCATGCCTCAGACTATTTTGGCCCATTCGGGACAATTGGGCCAACAATTTTCTACTTAATGCATATGGAAAATCGCCGATTTCCTGCCCAAACCAGCAAGGGATGTCAATCATTGCATTTGAGTAAGAGAGGGTTTCTTTTCCGTTGGCCCTGCTGAATAGATATGGCTCAGAACATGGAGCTGGTGAGAGTGGGGGAGATGGGGAGTGGAGGCGAGGGGCAGTCATTGGAATGTTCAATAAGGGAGAAGTCTGGTTACGACTCTTGCCAGGGAACCTAGAAATTATGGTTCATCTCAACAGTGCTGTGATATCAGTGACATTGACATTAAACAAACTCCACTCAACATGTATGTATGTACTAACTGTGTATATAATGTCCCTAGATGTGTATACGATATATATACACATAACCATATGCTCATAACATCAGGCTTTGCCAACTCTATGAAAGGAACCAACCGGGATGCATTCTGAATGTCTGTGTTTCTGTTTCCCCTCTCACCCAAGGTTCAGTCACCGACAAGCCCTTGAGCCAGGGTAACTCAGGAAGGAAAGGTGAGTAGAGTTTTACGCTTTATCTCAATGTTTTCTCCTAAAGCCAGTCCAAGCAAGCATTCTTAGACAAGATGGATGGAACTGGGGTGAAAGCTAAAGGTGCCCTGCAGAAAATATCCATTCTTATTCTGTGTTTCCTCAGAGAAGCACCGAGGTGAGTAAGGCTCATCCGTGGTGGGGACCAAGCTCCCAGAATTTCTGGGGGGGGGGGGGGGTGAGTGGGTGCAGACCACAGAGCTGGCAGGGACCCTGAGAATCTTGGTTCCTAGGAAGTTCAGTCAAATCAACTTACCAGTATCGCCAGCATTAAACAAGGATAATGAAAGTAGGTGTGCTTAAGTCTACCCCGACTCTCTTATGTTGGAAACCCATCTGAGCATTATTTCCCTCACTGCTTCTCAATAACTATCCAGCTCCTCCAGTTTCTCTTCACGAAGACTAAGCTGGCTTCATGGGCTTGCGACCTGTGCATTGGTTGTCATTAAATTCTCAACTATTTTGTCTTTGAACTTGTGCTTTTAAGGGTGGAAAGTCTATGGGGTCAATGATGCGTGCGTGTGAGCAGCGGTACATGTAATAGCATGTCTGCTGCTGATTCTTGGCCCCATGTGCACGTAGCTTTTGCGATGCATGCTTTTATAGTACGCTCAAAAATTTTATTTTTCTTTACCTAAAGCAACATCAAATAGCAAATTAAAAACGCCATGGCAAGTCAAGACAGAGGCTGTGGAAGAGAGGATACAACTTTATTTTTAGTCTCTTTAGTAACACTTCCCCCTGCTTTTTGAACAGAAGGTCTGTTTTCATTGTGTACTGGGCCTTACCAATTACATATACCCTGGCTAAGGCATTTGTCTGAGTGCTTTTTAGGGTTCCAGCTGCCATGAGGAGCAGGTCCCTGGGATATGAGGACCATACTTGCTGGTGTGGCAGACATTAAGATCACTGCTGCTCATCTCCAGGATGATATACAAGCACACGGAGAGTTGTGGTTGCATAGAAAATAACTATCAATTCTATTGCATGAGTGAGAAACCAAGAACCCCCATTTTCAGGTAAAACCCAGACAAGGGACCTTGGCTGAGATTGAGGCTTCCCACCTGAATCTGGGCCTTGGGAACTTCATGCTCATAAGACCCACGCTGTCACAGGGAGACCAAGGTGAGCCCCCTAGACGGTGCTCCAGGCACTTACTGAATAGAGATGGGAGGAGGAGGCAAGGTCACCCTTCCTGAATGTAGGATATGAGTGTCCTGAGAACCTGCTGCCAACTGCGGGCGCTCTAAGAAGATGTGGAAGTAGGGCATGGTGACACCGCCACCACCTACTAGAACACATGGACCAATGGCCTAGATGGGCCGCTCCCCTTCCTGTGAGCAGGAATGAGTAAGTGGGTGAAAAACGAGAGCAAGTGCCTTCCCAGGTCTTCCCAGAACAGAGGAGGCAGCTGTGAGTGTGGGTGGTTCCTTCCCATGGGGGAGGGGCATGGCCGTTTCTTTCTGCAAAGACTTGGAATCATCAATTCCTTGAATGGCGTGTATTGACAATGTATTGGGGCTGGAAAAGAAAGCTGCCTTCAGAGTTGCTTATTGCAACAGGAGTCTTCAGAACATGCCCTTTATTTCTGGGCATGAGGTCCTGGTAGTAGGAAAAAACAAAACAAAAGGGCAATCCACTCAGAAATGACCACCCAGATTTCATGATGCTGAGATAAGCACCCACACCAAGAAAGGCCCATGAGGTTTGGGTCCTTAAACTGCACAGAGAAGTACTTTCCAGATTGATGTGACTCTGCACCCCATGAATAACGTAAGAATCAGACACATAGACATGGTGGGATCTCATGGATTTATCAGGAAGAGGGCAGGAAAACCTGATTCCCCCAGGGGTGGTGCAGGGAATAGGGATGTAGAGTCTGAAGCCTCATCTCGGAGCTAAGCTGCCATCAATTTTTAGTTCTTTGCTGTCCTACACTGGATGAGTTCCTTCCTCCGTGACATTTGTGCCGAGGCCCCCTCTTTAGTGAGAAGGCCTGGGGGTGGGGAGGGAGGGATGCTGGGGCTTAGTTGCCCTGGGTATTGACGTGTCAGTAGGCTCTCTTCCTTCTACTTTGGAGGATCAGTGTAGGTGCTGGTCTGTTCTCCGGCTGCCATGGGCAGTGCAGTGAAATGCAGTTTGGGGCACCTGTAGGAAGGGCCACCTGAAGCCACACCTGCCCAGGAAGCTGAGGTTTGAATGGGGACAGGGTGCGAGAGGGCATTTGTAATATCCTGTGTTGGCCCACTGAGGTCCCTCTTTCAGCTGCCACTTAAGAATGGAATGTGCTCCTAGGGCAGCAGGTGGGAAGACACAAAGGCCCCTTGTCTGAGCTCGTGCCCACATGTGGGGTCTCCTAGCAGGCATCTCCTGAGAGCCGGAGCTCGCAGCCCTGAGGCCCGCCACAGACAGATGCTGGGCCCGGCCCTTGTGCAGGGTAAGGGGTACGGGTGGGAAGGAGGTGAGGCTGGAGGGCTGGGTGTGTGAGCAGTGGGGTGGGGGGCGGGGAGAGGGCACGCTAAGGGGGAGGAGCAGACCCAGCCTATTCTTTCCCCACCCTCTTGAACATGCGCCACTGACAGGGCCGGAGGGATCGGTTCTCTCTGCCTGGAAGGAATGAAAAGACGTATTGTGCAGTCACGGAGAGTCTGGTTGCCAGCCAGGAATGAGTCCTCCAAAGCAGAGGAGAAAGGCAGAGTGAGAGGAGGCTGGGGGAGGCGGCCCAGAGAGATAGTTGGAGCAAAGGAGGAGGGAGAGAGGCCAGGCAGTAGCAGGTCACAGCCGATTGGCCTGGATAGGGAGGCCTGGGTTGCTGAGGCTCCTGAGTCTACAGGTGTGGAGAGCCCGAGGGGAGAAGGGGGGTGGGTAAGGAGGGAGGGAGGCACTGTTATCTTACCCAGATGCACGTGCTCCTGGAAGGGAGAGGGTCAGAACTTCAGACTATTTATTTAATCCCTTGGAATGTCCTTGCCTGGCTCTGATCTTTGGGCCCCTTGTGTTTCACGGGCTCCTTTACAGCCACATGTGTGGTAATTAACACGTGCAGTGTGGGACCCGACCATGTGTTTGAGTTTCAAATATCCATTGATCTGGGGCACTCCCATCCCGGCCACCCCTCCCCTTCTTCTCCTTTGGTCCTCGCCTTGAAGAGTGATGGAAGAGGTCTGTGTGTATGGGAGGGTGGGGGACACACGTGCATCCACATGTATTTTATTGAGGCTACAGAGGAATGTCAGAACAAGGGAAAGAGCCCCCAGCAGCCCTTAACCCCTGACGATCTGCTGCTAAAACAGCCCAAGCCTGCAGCAGTTGTGGGAGAGATGAATTTTTGGTTTCCACTGAAGTCATCTGAAGAATGGCTGGGAAGCAAATGTGTTTAGAAATCATGAATTTACCGAGTGTCTTTTCCTGGCCGGCCAAGGCTTATGGAGTTTCTATGGTGCCTCTTTCTGGGGTGTTGGTGTTAATGAATGTGGACGATTTGGGGAGCCCTCAGGATTACTGAAGACAGCCAAGGACTGGTCCTGGGAGTCATTGCATGTGAGGTGGCAGAGGGAAGTGCACAGCCCGGGTGCGGTGGGGGAGGGGCGTGGCGAGGAGTCACTGCATGAAATAGAGGAGAGAGAGCCCCGTACACTGAGTTCTGGCAGTTCTCCGGGAGGTTTTTCCTCCTGAGCAACTAGGACCTTGGAGAGCCCAGGGTGATGCTTCTATAGATGGCAAGGGGAAAGTTTAGGGCCATCAGGGGTTTTCTGCAGTTTGCCTTTTTCTCCTTGTACCAGGTCTGGGAGTTAGCTCTTTAAAGAAAGCGAAGAAGGAAATAAAAACATGAGCAGCCTCTGCGTACATTTCTCCATGGGCTTCCGTATTTGTCAAGCCAGTCTTGGAAAGAAACTGAATTTCTAGAACCTAACCCACCTTTAATTTGCAGAGATTTTTTTTTTTTTAAATCCTTCACTGGCTGCTCTATAGTATGTGCTCCTGGTAAAGAGTAGGTCACACTATTTTATCCAGGTAACAATAGAGACAAAGGTCCCTCTCTAAATTCTAAATTCTATCTTTAGAATTTCTCATGGAGCCTGGGTCTACAAATTGGTACCAGCTTGGAGATCTTGTCACTCAAGTGATGGTTTAAGCATCCTTCTCATTCGGGGCTGAGGGGTGCACTTAGGGCAGGGGTGATGAATGGTGGGCATCCCAGAGGAAGTGGATGGTTAGCACACCTGAAGGAGGTTCGCCTCATAGCCCTGAGCCTGGCAGGGTTTTGTCTTGGAGGGACATTCTACATGTGGGGCGTCACTTCTACTGTACCCTCTTACCAGCTATCTCTCTGATTCCTCTTCCCCCAGCACTGAGGGAGAAGCTGGGTCAGTAGTTGATCTGTCAGCATGGCCATCAGATGCCAAAAGTGTGATGACCTACCAGCCTGCGCTGGCTCTGAATGGAGGCGGGCAGCGGATGACCTGTATGGGTTGGCTTCTGTGCACATTGAATTTTCCTGTGGTTCTCATTCCCATGCTGGGCCTGCTGAACAGACTGTGCCTGCGCAGCTCCAAGCCCAGGAGAGGCAGCTCTTTGCTCTCTGCATGCATCTTGCTGCTGCTTTCTGGTGCTCTGAGCCACCTTGGCCAGGCCTGGCATATCCGTACACCAGCTTTGCAGAGATTTGTTGCAGAAGGGATGTGCATGAGTGTTATGTGTGTACCATGTCTCCTTCCTGTGCATGGATGATCACAGCAGCTTTATCTGTGAGAGCCAAAGATGGACACACTCACATGTTTTTCAGTGGGTAGACTGTGTTGCAGCCACACCATGGAATACTACTCAGTAATAAAAAGGGGCAGACTGTTAATATGTGTAGCAACTCGGATGGCTCTCAAAGGCATTATGCAAAACGAAAAGGGTCAATCTCAAAAGGTCACATACTTCATGATTCCATTTATGTAACATTCTATAAATGACAA